AACAATTTTGTCATTTGATATCAGCTTAGATTGTTTCCCACAATATTGATATCAATAAAAAATGGAACAGAAATATTCAGCCAAACAACAGCTCTTTTTCTTCCAAGAAGCAAGTAATAGGAATAATAACAGTTCTGGTTGATTGAGAGGACTGCATGCTAGGCCTTCTTACCTAGGGCTTTCTAAGCATTAGCTGCTGTAATCCTCATTACAACTCTAGCAGGTAGGTGCTACTCATTTCTCTTTCACATTTGGGAGATTTGAGGCACAGGAGAGGAAGATAACTTGCCCAAGCCAGGATATGAACTGAGGTGTCTGTCTCCTTGGAACCAGCATGGAAGCTTCCTGCCATGCCGCTTGCAGCATCGTGCATTTTGCTCGTATCCATCCTTCCCTTGCTCCCCAAGTGTCTTGACTGGTTTTAGCAGCCAACCTTCTTGGCTGTGAAAGCAAAACCTTTGCAGGTCCCAAACCAACCCATGTGACATAATCACTGTGATTTCATTTGAACATCGTTCGCTTTCCAGCAAAGACGCTCAGACCCCAGGGTCATTGTGAAAGAGGCTTTGGTGCTCTACCCTTTCTTGATATTTACTAAACAAGGGCTGCCCAGAGATTATTGGGAAATTGTGATGTTGATTAAACCATGATGTTCCCTTTGCCCAGGAGGGCAAACGTTGAGTGATAAAAGCAGTCCGGTGTTCTAAAATCATTTTCAAAGCAAAAGAGGGTTTGAACAAAATAAATGATTTGAATGCAAGACATAAACAACCAAACAGGCCTGCAAACGAGAAGAGTAATGAGGCATCTGGGACACCAGTTCTGCTCCTGATGACTTTCAGGGCGAACCTTGATGCCTTTCAGATTTTCAAAGAAAAAACTGGCGACATAAGAACAGCAGCTGTGGGCACAATAAGGAAATTAGTCGGAGCAGATTTGTAATTAAGCATTGGAAGTGGATCCGTACGATCCCTCCCTGCAAGCAAGTACCTTTTGCTTTTTGCCTCTTTTCAAAATTCCATTTTTTACAAAATAAATGCGCACTTCAGCTTTAGTCATGCATATCCCGACTTGGGCTGTCAGCTAAAGATACTACTTTTTCTGGGCAAAACAAACAATTAGCTCACAGGAAGCCCAGAGCTCCATGAAGTAAAATAACATGGACTTTGGGTTCTCATTTCGTTTTTATTTGTATCATTTTATTACTTTGGAAAGACTGAAGAGTTGTTGCCATTGCATATTTGTATAATGAAGGGAGGGTGAACGATCCCAAGTCATTGTGAAGACAATTAATTTTCATTTCCCAGTACAAGGTGAAGATGAACATTTTACGATCTTCATGATTGTCTTTACATCACTTAACAACCACATCATAGTTAAATAAAGTTTAGGCTCTCAAGAGATTGTTAGCCACAGAAGGTTTTAAAAAATGCAGCAATATTTTTGCACGCAGTGAGCTTCAGTGTTAAGCATATTAAATATGTCTTCTAGGAGATGGCTCTTCTCTCCTCTCCCCTGCCCATTGCTTAACTCCCCCCACCCTCATGGCCCCTCAGTTAGATTTGCCCCCTTGGGTAGCAGGCTGTTTCTCCCAGCAGCTATTAGACAGGACAGACCTAGACCCTTCTTCAACTGGAAATGAGCGAGTTTCTCAGAGGAGCCAATTGCTCCTTCCCGGTCCACCCTGGAGAGTGCACCCTTCCTACAGCCTCCTGGATCCTGTCCTTTCTCCCTGTAAATCACTTTGAGCCTGGGGAAGTGTAGGAGGAGCGGGTCAGACCCAGGTGTCCTGAATCATTAAGCACTGGCTCCTCTGGGGGGCCAGCGAGGCTCTCTGAGCTTTGACAGCAGTGAAATGTGACAAGAAAGTAAATATCCCAGTGCCCCACTTATCCAGAGGTCAGGCGTCCCTCAACCTCTGCCTTCTGGAACTCAGTTGAGAAGCAGGAAGGAAGCAAAACAGGCTGGAAGCAGCGGAAACACCAGTCACAAAGCAATGCCCGTTAACTAGGTCTAATTGACTCTTAATTAACACGCACTCCTAACAAGCCCATTTATGTAGACTCCCAGCCCACAACAAATTAAAAGCAGAAAATTAGAGGGGGGCGAGGAAGGAGGGAAGAACGATTAGTTGTGATCGCACTGGAGGCAGTAAGAAATGATGGCAAACAGCCTGACATCAAAGAAGAGATAAAAACACGCCCCTGAAAAACAGTCCCAGAATTAGCAAAATCAGCAATGCACAGCCGTTTGGATGGCGTCAGACAGCACAGCACATCTGTTACTGAGCACCACAATTCCTGCTCGAAAAGCCTGGACAACCTGCATGAAGGAGAGAGCCTGGCGCTGGGAACACAGAGACCTTGGCCAGCTCACCAGCTCCCAGCTCCGGGGGTTCTCCACCCCTAGGATGCCTGGGATCTGCTGAGGAGCTTGCTGTATAAGGGGTGCCTGATCAAAACAGGCAAGAGCCTCAGTCCAGGAATCTGCATTTTCATGAGGTCTCTCCCTCTGTGATGGTGACTCAGAATCACACATTCAGAAACATTGCTAACTCTGTCTCCAAATTGGGAAATGGCTTAAGCAAGTCACTCCTTGCTCCAGATCTTGCTGCTTCCATAAAAGAAAAGGTCTAGTATATCATCTCTAAATTCCCTTAGAGCTGTACCTGCTAAAAGCATACACTAATTTTATAAGCTCGTAAGCAGCTGCTGAACAGCCAAGGAAGAGTTCATGAGGACAATAGACTGCCTCCTTTTTTAGAAAAGGAGGGCTAACAAAGTGTGTTCTACCAGTGTCTCCCAACATTTTAAATTTGACATCCCATCTGCAAAACTTTGGGGGGGTACTCACTTTCAATAGATGTGCATTTTTATTTGTTTGTAATTTCTGCATGTGTTACTAGACTGACATATTGTTTGCATCATAAAATGCATGCAAGATAAAAATTAAATTAGAAGTTCTAATATTTTAATGACCCCTTAGTGACCACTGGGATAAATTTTAGGGCAAATTCTATTTAATATCCAATAGAATGTGAGCTATTTTGAGGGCACATTTTGCTTCATTTATCATTGTGTTCTCACTGCTCCACACAGTTCCTGGCTCATGTTCCACAAATGTTTTTGAATGAATGAATTGAAAAGTATGTGTTGGAATTTGAAGTGCCTAAGCTTTGGTTATTCATCTATTAGAAATATCTTTCTCTTCCACAGTAGTCAATAACATGACTAAATACAGAAAATAAAGGGTTAAGTTGAGAAGTGTCATTCATATTTGAGGAAACTGCCTGTTAGAATTTAGGGAGTATGATCCACAGTTATGAAGCTTGGAAAGCCTTCTCTGAGGCAGGAAAATGACTCCAGTTCACGAAAAGGTAAAGGGATGGTAGTTCTGCAATAGGTATGTATTAAATATCATATGTGGTCATGAAGGGGTTCCTATATGTGTGTTCCTGTATGTGTGTGTGTGTGTTGAAGATATTCTTTAGGAAATAGAGATTTATTTAATTTTTTTTTTTTTTGGTTTGGGGAAACCAGGTAATTTTTCCTTAATGAACTTTAGAAGTTAATGTACAGATCTTCCTCAACTTATGATGGTTTCCTAGTTTCCTGGTTTCCCCAAACCAAAAAGAAAACCAACCATTTAAATAATTCTCTATTTCCTAAAGAATATCTTCAACACACACAAGAACCCCTTCATGACCACATATGATATTTAATACATACCTGTTGCAGAACTACCAATGTCCCAATAACCCCACCATAAGTTGAAAATATTTTAAGTTGAAAATGCATTTAATATACTTAACCTATCTAGCATCAGAGTTTAGCAAAGCCTACCTTAAATGTACTCAGAACATTTACATTAGCTTATAGTTGTGAAGTACTGACAATTTCATATAATTTATTGAATACTATACTGAAAGTGAAAAACAGAATGGTTGTGAAGGTATCAGTTGTTTACCCTCAGGATCACATGGCTGACTAGAAGCGGTGGCTCGCTGCCCCTACCCAACATCACAAGGGCGATCCTACCCCATATCTCTAGCCTAGAAAGAGATCAAAATTAAAAACTCAAAGGCATTGCTTTCACACCATCATAAAGTTGAAAAATCACGAATTGAACCATTCCAAGTTGGGGACTGTCTGTATCCTGGACTCTCCTTCATGCAAAGACATTTAAAATCCCATTGCTTACAAATGGCATTCATGATATGAAGAGTCACTTTGCAAAGCCCCGGATGTACCTTTAGCATACTGTTTGCCAGTGACCAAGGCTGAATTATAGTTATCTGCCCATTGATCACTGACATAGCAATTTCCTTAGTGAGTTATAAGCATCACTGGTAACTTCTGGGACAGTGAGAAATAATTATCTTGGGAAGGAGAGGGAACACCATCTTTGAAGCAATGGGAAACTAGATGGATACCTACTTCACTTAGCCCAGCACTTCTCAAACTTTCTGGTCTTAGGACCCCAAATTATTGATGATCCAAGATAGTTTATGTTTATCTGAGTTATACCTATAAATGTTACCCATATTGGAAATTAAAATGGAGAAATCTTTTAAAAATGAGAATACCTATTCCATTCACTAGTCATCAGGGCAATCTTCATGTCACATAGCCTCTAGAAAACTACACTGTGAACTCATGAGACAATGAAAGTGAAAAAGGCAAATAACATTTTGGTGTTATTGTCAAAATAGCCTTTATTTGTTGAACCCACTGGAAAATTTCAGGAACTCCAGAACCAGTAGTCAATTCCAGAGACAAAACTTGACCCATGTCTACTTCAGGAAGAAGCTGTCAACCAAGATGTAAGAGTGACATCTGGCTGGTGAAGACTGAGGAATTTCATTTGTTTGGAAGCTTCCTTGGTGACAGCTGGTGGCCTACCAAATTATGACAGAGCATGTACCATGGTGTGCTGAATGTGGAGGATACGGTATTTATAATAATGACCTTTTCACCTCTGAAATATCTGAAACTACTGACCTTCTCTTCTTGACATGATCCTTGACATAGTGACCCATGTTCCTGTGAATTCTTTGCTGTGGTCCTCTCTGGAAATCATTAGCTTCTGGGTGTGGGTAAAGAATTGTGAAGGATAGTTGCTCCAGAGCTCTGTCCTCAGATTTCAATAACAGTATTCTTTGGCACTGAGATCTTCCCATTTCAGCAGGAATTTTCTGCTGGGTCAGAAACAGGGTAGAAAAGGTACTTATTCCCTTGGGAAAATATTTAATATTTCATTATTTGAACTTTATATAAATACACAAATATTTGTTGAATGGATGAACTATGTATGATGCATGATCAGCTGAATGTATTTAACCATAGTCTTGGAAAGACAAATCTTTTTTTAGGGCAAAATGAAGGAAGAATCTGCTCTCTTTCTTACACTGAAAGAAGGGAGTGGGATAGATTCACTCTTGATAGAGGTATGTTGGTCATTTGGAGATTGCTCAGGGGACTGCCATAGAGATGGTTATAGGGTAAATCAACAATGTGAGGTTCCCTTGTTCAAAACACAAGGAAGAAAGGCATTAAAGGTACTAAAATATAAGACATTTCCTTTCTTCCACAGTCTCTCTCTCAATTTGTCATGGTGTTGGTGTTTTTTTATTTGCTATCTGATGTAATTTTAAGTAAACAAAAATAATAATTTTAAATTACAAGCATCATGCCCTTCATCTTTGTATTGTGGAGTGCCAGCTTAAATGTGAACATGAGAATATTTAACTTGTGTACAGAATCACTGAAATTATGCAATTTGTTTTTCACAGTTCATACACACATATGAATTTAATTTTTACCAGAACAGTGGAAACACTTCAGAAAACTGACTAAATTGTTTTCATTTCACTTCTTGAAATGTGTGAGCATGGCACATCGTACCACACTCTGGAAGCAGATGGCTTCCATAATACGCTTACCTTGTACTCATTTTGAGTCTTGCTAAACTCCCACACATGCTGGGTCTGCCAGAGTGCTGTGCTCATGAGGCATTGCCAAAGCTATATGTGAATGTGACAGCAAAGAACAGGGGACAAGAATACTGTGCATATCTTCTCTGCTCACATGCATGTTCCACTGTCCCATTGGAACTCACAAATTCAAGGATAAAATTTTTAAGAATTTCAAGATGGTGACAGCTGCGCTGTAACTCAGCATGGGCCCTGCTGCAAGGCACAGGTCCCACACGCACGAAGCTGACCCTGACTTGGGCTGATGCCACTGTGCTGAGAATGGGACTCATTCCGGGCAGTGGACCTGCTCTTGGGTTATAGCATATGTATGCAAAGCTGTCACGAAGGTGGGACATGCAGGATCCTACAGAATACTCTTCCCTCAAGGCCAGCGAGGTTGCACAGCAGGAGCACAAGACGATCTGTTGGGGTGCATGAAGAAAATGACTGGATTCCTTTTTCCACTTACCTTTTTACTCTCATTCTTTTGAAATGTGTATATGTTTTCAGAATGCACAAAACATATCAGGAGCACACAACAGGTATATATAAATGATGTATTTGTAAATATATATACATACTTTGATGTCTGTGCTCAAATATGTTTTACTGAAAGGAGTACCTGAGAAACCAAGTAGAGGGCATGATCTGAGAGGACGGCATAAGGAACGGGTCAAGGAGGAGAGGCTAGGGTCTGAGGAGAGGCCCTTCATGTTTACTTAGCAATGGGTTCCTGAGTGAAAGGAGAGTAGAAGTGGAGACAGAATACAGCGCGGTGACTGCAGTCTGTCCATATGCCCACCCCACTCTCCCCTGGCAGGGGTTGGTCAGGCCTGTGTGAATCTTAGCCAACCAGGGGGGACCTGAGTTGGTGGGAGGCCCTTGACCTATAAGGGGGAGAATTTAAGTGTGTCACAGAGGGGAGCCAAGAATAAAGCCAGACACATCACTGGTTCTTGTCAGATTCCCGTGAGTAAGAGAGAAAACTAAAAATGCAAGGCAAAACAAGAGTCAAGTGAGTAATAATAATACATATTGAGTCATTTGCCATTGAACTCTCTGTGCAGTTTATCTTATTCATCCCATTTTACAGATGAGGAAATGGAGAACCAGAGTTCAGTGACTTTCTGAGGGTCACAGAACTGATTATGGCCGAGAATGTCTATTACCCTGCTCACCTATAGGTTGCAGCAGGCAGAGCAGAAGGTACTGCCATAAGGTAGGAGCTAATATTATTATCATCCCTGTTTTATAGATGAGGAAACTGAGGTTCAGAAGAAGATCATGCTGACCAGAGCTTGTTCTGGAAGAAGTTGGTCATGTGGTAAATGGGTGGGTCAGGCTGAGTCAAAGTTAGAGGCCAGTTGCCACCCCTGAGCTGATGGCCAGTTTCCTGTCTAAAGTAAGTGCAATTGTCCAAAGGGTTGGAGGGATCTGAGAGATCAAACAGTAATCCCTGGTTGTAGAAATGGGTAGACACATTCTTCAGCTGCTGGCCTGGAAATTATAAATTCAATTTACTTTATCTTTCAAAGCAAGCTCCAGGGCATTAAAAATCACTTTATCATGATCTCTTTGAGATTTACGATATCCCTAAAAGGTAACCAAGCTGCTTCATCTCATATTTCTGTCTTTGCAGAGCTAAGGAGCCCGGCCAAGGCCTTCCCAGCCATGACTGAGGGGCACCGCCCCCAACCCCAGTGCCTGCACTGGCTCCACCACGAGGCTGCAAATAAGGCAGCTTCGCACTGTCCTGCCATTGCTTGTTTTACCTCATTTGGTTAAACCACATAAGCTCAGCTCTCGGAGCTTTCTTTTCCTTATCTTGAACATCATGTACTGTTCCAGCTCCCAGCCAGCCACCCAGGAAGGAAGCATCCTGTTCCTTTTAGACAGGGCCTAGCTGGCCACATGGTCACACTGTTGAAAGCTTCTGTTAAGTAACATTATTGAGTTAAAAGATCTATCAGAACTGGGAAGTGCACAGTGTTAGGGTTTAATAGTTATCTCTGGTCTGCTTACCTCACAATCAAACATGAAAAAAACTGCAGAGGCAAGAAAGAGAGGGAAAGAGAAGGATGGAGGGAAGTGGGGGAGAGAGAGAGAGGGAGAAGGAATCAAGCATTTTCCTATTAACTATGAGTTTTTCTAAACCCAATTATAACTTAACAAATCAATATATCAGGCCTCAATTTATTTCATACTTGTTGGGAACCTAAACTACATTAATCCTGTATTGTAATCAACTTGTTATTTAATTGCTTGTCATTTTTAATATTTCTTGAAATGTGTTTTTATCATTTTTTTACTTTTCTTTTTTAACTTTGATGACTTAGTTAAGTATTTCATAAAATATATAGATGTGGCAGTAAATGCATCTTTGCACTGGAAAAAGAAAAGGAAATTTGCATGGCAAATTTTCAATCTTGAGTTTTATTTTCCTGAAGCTCTGGTTTCTCAAAACCTAGGCTTTAAAAACAAGCTATTTATTTTTTGATTTACACTGCAGAGAATTTTGAGAATTTTTCAGTTAAATGGGTAAAAAAATATTTCAAGTGGTGCAAAAATATAAAGAAATATGACATGAAAACATGCTTGAATCTATCCTAACTAAAGCATTATGTCAGGAATTAAATCGTGAATTAGACAAGAAAAACCCACACCCATTTCTTTCTGTTGTAGGGGATTTAAAAAAATACATTCAATTCTTGACTATTAGAAATCTGGAAAACTCGTGGATCATCTAATAAAGCATTCATGCCTACTCTTGCTTGGTATGTATATTTGCACATATACAAAGCATACATAGGACTGATGAGAAAAACCAATAATGTTTCAAATAATAGTTGTACTCTGAAAACTTGACTCTGTGGGACTGGAAAGCTATCCTGGTTTAGCTCTTCTGTAACCTATTTGGCTTCAATCCTCTCTCCATTGGGTGTATTTCTTATTTTGACATATAGCACGAGTTTGGTTGGAATTCCTCCATCCTCCTCTCCCTTCCCATGTCCCTTGCTCCCCTCTTTGTACCTGCTTGGTCTTTGTTGGACTGTGTCTGAGAGTGGGGAGAAATGTTCCACAGCAATAATGACTGGTGCTTCCTGAGGACTTGCCCTGAGATTTACTATTTACCCTGATCTATGCTCTTTAGATGTGTAGTAGTGTTTGATCTTCTCCATGACCTCATGATGTAGGTTCTATTAATAGACCCATTTTAGTGTTGAGAAACTGAGGCGTGAGAGAAGTTAAGTAATTTGCCCAAGGATGTACAGTTTGAGAAGGTAGTGCAGGATTTCAGCCCAGGCAGTCTGTTTCTAAATCATGTGCTCATAACCAGATATCACCCCCACCCCCACCTCTGCCCTTGGCAGGAAAAGGGGAAAGAAGTTAAAGGGTTTGGGGGGATGGGAGAGTGATGACTTGAAGAAGGCTATGGGTCAGAAATGATCTGTTTCTTGATCTGGAGGATGATCCCGTGCACCTTGTACAAATTTGTGGAGCTGAATTCAGGTATATACACATAACCAATGGCAAATTGAATAATAATTTGCCTTAAATAATGTTTTTGTTGAAAACACCTCTAACTGAGAGAATTTGTCTCCTATGAGTGGCCAGTGGGTGGTCTGGATCTGAGGGTAGGTCTTGCTACCAGATAACTTTGGGATAATGGTTTAATCTCTCTGTTCACATCTCAGTTTACTGACCTGCAAACCATTTGCAGGACACGATTTTTCCTACTTTATATGGCAGTATTAAGTGATACGCTTTCCATGAAGATTTGAAAGTGAAGTGAAGATAATCTCTTCTTCAATGCCATGGTAATTAAGGCATTCCAGAAGGGGGCTTTGGGTTTCACAGATAGTAAACTAGGATTCCTTCTTAAATAAATAAAGGGGGGGAGGTATTTAAAATCCATTTCATTGGCAGGATCAAGGTGTGTTTCCTTCTCCAGGTAAAAAGCTCTTCCTTTCACACAAATTGACCAGATGCAAGCTTACCTGACCTGATACTAATAAATCCACTGGCTTCCCCTTGTTCGGAAGGTGTGGACATTGGAAAGAGTATATTTTCTTGTCTATGATGTAAATCTTGTGATCCAGAAGCAAAATGCTAAAGGGAAAGTGAACAAGTCTACATTATTTCCTAGTATTTACAACAAAGGCCGAATTCCAGGAAAGGAAGTTAAATTTCTTGGATAATATCACTGTTACTATGCCTTCCTA